ATCCTTAATCTGTTTTTTTACTGTAAGTATGAAAGAAATGAGTTTTGTTGGACAGTGTAATGGCTCCGTCCAATTTTCTTGTTTCACTTAATCAGAATCTACTGTGGCCACAATTGATTTATAAGTTATTTTAATACTTCGTAAAAATAATTACAAATCAGTCATTATCTTGCAACGGAAACTGAGTGTTGTTTGCATTTTATAGAACAAAACGAGAAGCGACATCAACAACAACGAAAACTACAGCACAAGCTTGAGAGAGCACAGAAAACCCACGGTGAGAAATGAAGTTGCCGAACAGCACCTTTTGGCTTCTGTTGACCTTGCCCCTGATGGTCACAGAGGCCACACATCAGCCTTCCTATATAAATCGTCGCCAGCAAAAATTAATTGAAAGTTCCATGGACTTGAATGCTGACCCTTGTAGCGATTATTATCAATATGCCTGTGGCAAATGGGCCGATCATGTAGATGGTGCTGGTAGCAAATTCTATGAAACGCTTACCATGTTGGATTATCAAGTAAATCGTGAACTGGCAAATCACATGGACAGATTACGGCTGAGACATGGTCCACGATTTGTACGCAAAGCCTATGAATATTACAGGTCATGTTTCGATGTGGAAAGCTATAAGCCATTGGAGTATTTGCGTTGGATGAAAATCCATGAGAATTTGAAATGGCCAATGCTCTGGGCAGATCCAAAAAATAATGTCGAATTCGATTGGGTGCAGACGCTGGCTGTGATGCGTCGTTATGGCATGAATGGGGTGCTGGTGGAGGAGATTGTCTACCAAAAGAAAGATGATCCTAGCCGACTTACTGTGGATTTGGACAAGCCTGTGGAGGGTGGTGGCTTTGTGGCCATGGCAGAGAGAAATCTCAAGGTGCTCATCGAGACCTTGGATATACCAATGAATTCGAGGACTTTTAAAAAATTGTGGAAGGAAATAAGTGATTTTGAGGAATTGCTTTTAAGGCTTGACGACATACCCGACGAAGAAGGCAGTCGCTTGATAACAGTCCGGGAATTACCCCTGCCATGGCTAAAGAAATATTTACGTATTGTTCTGCAGCATAGCAGTTTGGATCCCGACATGGAACTCTATATCCAGAACATACCCTATCTGGAGGCATTGGACGCGTTGTTGAAGGAATATGACAATCGTTTTATTTGTAAATATTTGGAAATACGTTTCCTGTGGCACTTGAATCTCAAGGGACCGGAAGATTTCTCCAAAGAAGATTGCCTGTCTTCGACACGCAGCCTCCTGCCCATGGCCATGCATTGGATTTATGAACAGAAAAATCCTGAAATTCTGCAAGAATCTACAAAAATTCGAGAACTTTTCAATAATCTCGTCAAGGAGTTCAAACAGCAGTTGGAGCAAAACAATCACGGCTTTAATGAGACCATACTTTCATATCTCCTCAACAAGTTGGATCACATTCAGCTGAAAATTGGCAATTTGCCACGCATAGACACAGTTCCGGTGTTGGAGAGGCATTACGCCAATCTAACTCTAAATGTCAGTGATTTCTATGGCAACCACTTGAAACTGCTGGCCTTCAGCGTTCAATCGCTGCATTTGGGTAACAACAACACACTATCCACCAATGCCAGCCATTACTTCCATTTGGAAAGCTATGAGACCGGCTCCAGCTCCTCACCCTACTTTATACAACGTTCGAACATTGTCATTATACCCGTTACGGCCTTAAAAACTCCCATCTATCATCCCAGCTATGAGGATATCTACAAATACAGTTCTCTGGGTTTCCTATTGGCCCATGAAATTTTACATGGTTTCGATTATACCGGTCTGGAGGTTGACATAAGTGGGAAACTAAACACGCCCCAATACAACAACATCTTGGCCAACACCAACTTCGACAACAACTATCAGTGTCTACGCAAATTGAATCCATATGTCATAGATGAAAAAATAGCCGATATCAGTGGGTTACGTTATGCCTACAATACATTTTTCAATCTGCAGCCGGAGGCATTGAATCGCACCCGTCAAATCTATGGCATGTCGATGTCATTGAAGAAATTGTTTTTCCTCAATTTTGCCCAATTCTTTTGTGGCGTCACAACATCAGATACCGAGGATGCGATTAGTACCAGTGAACATGGCATGGACAGTGATCGAGTGAACGATGCCCTTGCCCATTTTCCAGAATTTGCCAAGGAGTATAATTGTGGCGAGGAGAGCCGCCTGCAATCGCCAAGGAGTTGTAATCTGTGGCGGCGTTAAATGAAGGACAATTTTTTTTTTATTGTTACACAAAAAATATATATAGATTAATATATAGATTAGTTATCTTGAATCCGTGAGCAGACAGATATAAAAAAAAAGAAAGAACAAGTAAAAAAGCTGTAAGTTCGGCCGGGCCGAACTTTTAATACCCTCCACCATTTGGTACAAATTTGGCAATTTCCAAAAACAAAAAAAAAAAATTAAATAAATAAAATCCGTTAAAAATTCTGTTAAAATCTTAAAAATACCGAATGCCTATATGACGACGTGGATCTGCATTGGCAACTTTGGTCATAAGTTATTACAATATTTAAATGCGAAACTTGAAGAAAAAAAGTCTGTTTATAATGTAGCTAAAATTATCAAAATACCGAATATAGGGGGTACCGTTATATGGGGGCTATACGAAGACGTGGACCTGCACAGACAATTTTCTGGCATGGGCTGAAGTATCCATTTCGAACTTCACATGCGTAATTTGAAACAATCCCGGTAAATAATGTCGATAAAATCATCAAAATATCGAATATCGGGAGGTACCATTATATGGGGGCTATATGATAACATGGACCTACATGGCCCATTTACGAACTTGAACTACCTACTGACAAAATATACATGTGTGCAAAATTTTAGCCTTCTATATCAATTTGTTCGAAAGATAGCGTGATTACAACAGACCGACGGACATGGCTAAATCGTCTTAGAATTTTACGCTGATCAAGAATATATATACTTTGTTGGGTCTGACATGAGTATTTCGAGGAGTTACAAACGGAATGACAAAATTAATATACCCTCCATAGTATGGTGGAGGTAGATAAACGTATTATAAGGTAGAATTTATGCTGCAAATTGTAAATTTTGTATTATTTTCTCTACAAGCTTGATGCCAGAAAATCACCATGCATCTGGGCGTAAAGCAAATAAAATTAAGAACTGATTTTGGTTTTAATCATTTAATACGGCCAAAATGAAGCTGATCAGATTTTACTGAACATACCATACATAAACACTGTTCCTTGTTATACCCTACGAATATTGTTGTTATGTGACACCTCGAAATATTGGTCCAAGACATAGAATCTTATATATAATTATATATTCCTATTTATGGGTTGAAACGGACCAAAATCAAGAAAAATTCCTGATTTTTAAATTGCTCTGGAGGTCGTAATAACAGAGCAATCGACTCAGAATTTGGCATAGTGCTAGAGTTTAATGTTCGGCAGAAGTCTACCAAATTGGATGGTTATTGACCATAAGCTTTATATAAAAAAAATCCATTTAAACGCGAATATTTATACCCTACACCACAAGGTGGTCAGGTTATTATGTCTTTGTGCATTTGTTTGTAACAGGCAAAAGAATACGAGATAGACCCATAGTTCCTTTTGATGATCTGCATAGAATCACTTTCTGAGTTGATTTATGCATGTCAGTCCGTCCGTCCGTATGTCCAAAATGCAGGTGGCATTTATCATCCGATTGATATGAAATTTTTCAAACAACATTTGTTTAGCCCAAGGACGAACCCTATTGAAATTGGAGATAATCGGTTAAAAATTAGATATAGCTCCCATATATATCTTCGTCCGATTTGCCTTTTATTGTGCACCAAACGTGTAATATCAGCCCGAATAGTATCGGATTTTGCACGTACAACCAAATTAGGCCTGAAAATAAGTATGCCAAATTTAATCGAAATCGGTTCAGATATAGCTATAGCTTCCATATATATTGTTCATCCGATTTGTTATTTTTGTCCGCCGCAGCCGTAATATGCACTCTGTAACAACAATATTTGGGGAAATCTATCAAATACAGCTCATAAATACGTTTGCTAAATTTTATCGAGATCGGCTCTGATTTGGACATAGCTCCCATATATAACTTCGTCCGATTTACCTTTTATTGTGCACCAAACGTCTAATATTTGCCCAAATGGGAATTTGGCACATGCGACCGAATTGAGTCTAGAAGCTAGTATGTCAAATTTGGTGAAGATCGGTTCAGATATAGCTATAGCTCCCATATATATTGTTCATCCGATTTGTCATATTTGTTACCCACAGCCGTAATATGCACTCCGTAACAACGATATTCAAGGAAATATATCAAATACAGCTCAGAAATATCTTTGCCAAATTTTATCGAGATCGGTTCTGATTTGGATATAGCTCCCATATATATTTTTATCCGATTTCAAATTAATTGTGCACCAAATGGGTAATACAAGTCCGAATTTAAAAGATACAAATGCTTCGGCATATTTAGACCTTTAAATTATTTAACTTTAAATTATATTATAATCATAGCGTGTATGATTGAATTCTCCCATAAAAATTTTTAATTGTTATGCGCAGCTCTACTAAATTAGCAAAGTGGTGTAGGGTATCCTTACTGGTTTTAAATCCTTAATCTGTGTTTTTCCTGTAAGTATGAAAGAAATTAATTTTTTTGGACAGTGTAATGGTTCCGTCCAATTTTTGGTCTACTAAAGAAACTTTAATGCCCTATTAATTTTTTCTTGTTTCACTTAATCAGAATCTACTGTGGCCACAATTGATTTATAAGTTATTTTAATACTTCGTAAAAATAATTACAAATCAGTCATTATCTTGCAACGGAAACTGAGTGTTGTTTGCATTTTATAGAACAAAACGAGAAGCGACATCAACAACAACGAAAACTACAACACAAGCTTGAGAGAGCACAGAAAACCTACGGTGAGAAATGAAGCTGTCGAACAGCACCTTATGGCTTCTGTTGACCTTGCCCCTGATGGTCACAGAGGCCACACATCAGCCTTCCTATATTAATCGTCGCCAGCAAAAATTAATTGAAAGTTCCATGGACTTGAATGCTGACCCCTGTACCGATTATTATCAATATGCCTGTGGCAAATGGGCCGATCATGTAGATGGTGCTGGTAGCAAATTCTATGAAACGCTTACCATGTTGGATTATCAAGTAAATCGTGAACTGGCAAATCACATGGACAGATTACGGCTGAGACATGGTCCACGATTTGTACGCAAAGCCTATGAATATTACAGGTCATGTTTCGATGTGGAAAGCTATAAGCCATTGGAGTATTTGCGTTGGATGAAAATCCATGAGAATTTGAAATGGCCAATGCTCTGGGCAGATCCAAAAAATAATGTCGAATTCGATTGGGTGCAGACGCTGGCTGTGATGCGTCGTTATGGCATGAATGGGGTGCTGGTGGAGGAGATTGTCTACCAAAAGAAAGATGATCCTAGCCGACTTACTGTGGATTTGGACAAGCCTGTGGAGGGTGGTGGCTTTGTGGCCATGGCAGAGAGAAATCTCAAGGTGCTCATCGAGACCTTGGATATACCAATGAATTCGAGGACTTTTAAAAAATTATGGAAAGAAATTAGCGATTTTGAGGAATTGCTTTTAAGGCTTGACGACATACCCGACGAAGAAGGAAGTCGCTTGATAACAGTCCGGGAATTACCCCTGCCATGGCTAAAGAAATATTTACGTATTGTTCTGCAGCAGAGTAGTTTGGATCCCGACATGGAACTCTATATCCAGAACATACCCTATCTGGAGGCATTGGATGCGTTGTTGAAGGAATATGACAATCGTTTTATTTGTAAATATTTGGAAATACGTTTCCTGTGGCACTTGAATCTCAAGGGACCGGAAGATTTCTTCAAAGAAGATTGCCTGTCTTCGACACGCAGCCTCCTACCCATGGCCATGCATTGGATTTATGAACAGAAAAATCCTGAAATTCTGCAAGAATCTACAAAAATTCGAGAACTTTTCAATAATCTCGTCAAGGAGTTCAAACAGCAGTTGGAGCAAAACAATCACGGCTTTAATGAGACCATACTTTCGTATCTCCTCAATAAGTTGGACCACATTCAGCTGAAAATTGGGAATTTGCCACGCATAGACACAGTGGCCGTTTTGGAAAGGCATTATGCCAATCTAACTCTAAATATAAGTGATTTCTATGGCAATCATTTGAAACTGCTGGCCTTCAGTGTTCAATCGCTGCATTTGGGTAACAACAACACTCTATCCACCAATGCCAGCCACTACTTCCATTTGGAAAGCTATGAGACCGGATCCAGCTCCTCACCCTACTTTATACAACGTTCGAACATTGTCATTATACCCGTTACGGCCTTGAAAACTCCCATCTATCATCCCAGCTATGAGGATATCTACAAATACAGCTCTCTGGGTTTTCTATTGGCCCATGAAATTTTACATGGTTTCGATTATACCGGTCTGGAGGTTGACATAAGTGGGAAACTAAACACGCCCCAATACAACAACATCTTGGCCAACACCAACTTCGACAACAACTATCAGTGTCTACGCAAATTGAATCCATATGTCATAGATGAGAAAATAGCCGATATCAGTGGGTTACGTTATGCCTACAATACATTTTTCAATCTGCAGCCGGAGGCATTGAATCGCACCCGTCAAATCTATGGCATGCCGATGTCATTGAAGAAATTGTTTTTCCTCAATTTTGCCCAATTCTTTTGTGGCGTCACAACATCAGATACCGAGGATGCGATTAGTACCAGTGAACATGGCATGGACAGTGATCGAGTGAATGATGCCCTTGCTCATTTTCCAGAATTTGCCAAGGAGTATAATTGTGGCGAGAAGAGCCGCCTGCAAACGCCAAGGAGTTGTAATCTGTGGCGGCGTTAGATTAAGGTCAAAAATTAATTTTTTTTATTGTTACACAAAAAATATATGTAGATTAATGTATAGATTAGTTATCTGGAATCAGTCAGCAGACAGATATAAAAAACGAAAAAGGGGTTTTCAAAATGTAAAGGTATAGATAATCGTATTATAAGGTAGAATTTATGTTGCAAGTTGTAAATTGTGCAAGCTTGATGCCAGAAAATCGCCATGCATCTGGGCGTAAAGCAAATAAAATTAAGAACTGATTTTGGTATTAATCATTTAATACGGCCAAAATGAAGCTGATCATATTTTACTGAACATACCATACATAAAAACTGTTCCTTGTTATACCCTACGAAAATTGTTATTATGCGACACCTCGAAAGCTTGGTCCAAGACATAGAATCTTATATATGGATCTTCCTATTTATGGGTTGAAACGGACCAAAATCAAGAAAAAATCTTGATTTTTAAATTGCTCTGCAGGTCGTAATAACAGAGCAATCGACTCAGAATTTGGCAAAGGGCTAGAGTTGAATGTTCGGCAGAAGTCTATCAAATTGGATGGTCATTGACCATAAGCTTTATATAAAACAACTAAAAAAGCTGCAAGTTCGGCCGGGTCGAACTTTGAATACCCTCCACCATTTGGAACGAATTTGGTAATTCTCAAAAGCAATAAAATCCGTTAAAACTTCTGTTATAATCTTAACAATTAAAAAAGCTGTAAGTTCAACCGGGCCGAAGTTTGAATACCCTCCACCATTTGGTACAAATTTAACAATTTTCAAAAAAAAATCAAATCCGTAAAAAATTCTGGTTAAATCTTAAAAATACCAAATGTAGCCGTATATTAGAGTCTATACGACGACGTGGACCTGTATAGGCAACTTTATGTCATAGGCTATGGTATTCATTACGAACTTCAAATGCGAAATGTGAAACAATTCCTGTAAATAATGTCGCTAAACTCATCAAAATACCGAATATCGGGGGGTACGGTTATATGGGGGCTATACGAAGACGTGGACATGCACAAACAATTTTCTGTCATAGGCTGTAACATCCATTACGAACTTCAAATGCGAAATTTGAAACAATTCCCGTAAATAATGTCGCTAAAATCATCAAAATACCGAATATAGGGAGGTACCGTTATATGGGGGCTCAATACCAAAAGTCCTGCAGATATAGCACACTTTTGAGTAAAATTTTATCAACCTACTTCATTTCGTTCGGAAGCTAAATTGATTTCCACAGACGGACACCATACTATGGTGGAGGGTATAAAAATACGTAAATTTCCATTTAACCGCGAATATTTTTAATTACAGCGAAATCAAAAATACACGAAAATTTCACCGTTTTAAAGATGCGTACGTTCATTACCCATGAGCCGCTGGGCTAATTTTGACAATTTTCAACAATTCAGAATGGCCTCATAGTATAAAGAGATAAAATGTAATCACGCAAAAATATGCCAACAATCTCTGATAAATAAACCCTAGAACACTATGTGTTGGTGGTATTATAAGTTTGATTGGGCCAAAAATTATGTAACACTTGGAGAATTGGTCCAAGACATTGGAAATTATATATTGATCTTTCAATATCGCCAAGCTGAATCGATCGAGCTATATGTGCGTCCCCCAATCCGTCTGTCCATGTTAAATTGTAATCACGCTGGCGTTAAGGCCGGAATAAAAGCCTATTTTTTGTGGATATGATTTCCGAATTTTTAGGGATTGAAATGGACCAAAAACAGATAAATGTTCTTTTTTTGCGGTTGCTCTACAGGCCACAATTATAGATCAATCGACTCAGAATTTAGCACTGGGCTAGAGTTTAGGACTGGGAAGAAGCCTCTAAATTTCGAGGGTCATTGAATAATAGTTAGTGGGAAAAATAATTTCCCTGTAAAAAAAAAAAAACACGAACATTTCTGTTAAATTTCGGATATTTTTTAAAAATACACGAAAAAGTCACTTCTGACCGTAACATTGTTGCCGATATTCAAAATATCGCATATATAGCCTAGTGTATACAAATGCATATATCACAGGAGGGTATGTTAGTTAAACCGCTAATAATTCATGAAAGGCTAGACGATAATTTTCTAAATTTTAGAATGGCCTTTTGGCAGAAACGAATAAAATCTAAAAAAATGCATTAAAATATGCTATAACAAGTTAAAAAGTATGGGTATGTTTTGTAGACATATGTATACCATCAGCCAATGTTCGATTATTTAAATATATTATAACTTCGGCCATGATTATTCAAATTGTTGTCCCTCTATGGAGTAGGTTCCGAAAGAATTGACAAATATTGTCCATTTCGTAACATACTTAAAAAAATATGATATAAATATTGTGACGTACCAGGCTTGGATTATATTGGCTACTTCCAACCTTCACCTCATTTATATAAGATATGTGATAATTTTTAGAAAATATATAAATATGCGTGAGGTACCACATATAGTCGACAGAAGTATTCGATTTGCATACTTCATGTAATACAGATAAAACCAGTAAGAAAAATCGAAATGGGACGGTGCCGCCTATATGATACCCTACACCACTTTGGTTATTTAGTAGAGCTCCCATAACAAAAGAATTTATTTGAAGTATATCATACCACCTATCAACATTTGGATTTAGAACTGTTATAATTTGGTTTCAGTGGTAGCTAATACAGTCGGGGCATATCCAATTCTGAATCGATTTTTACTAAATTTGGCGGAGGCATTTCAATCTTTTATGTCAAATAACATTGCTATAGCGTGCATGATATCAATTGCAGAAGGATTATATTAAAAACAAGTAAAAAAGCTGTAAGTTCGGCCAAGCTGGACTTTGAAAACCCTCCACCATATCGTACAATTTCGGCAATTTTCAAAAAAATAAAATCCGTAAAAAATTCTGTTTAAATCTTAAAAATACCGAATGTAGCCGTATATTAGAGTCTATACGACAACGTGGACCTGTATAGGCAACTTTTGTCACGAGCTATTACAATATTCAAATGCGAAACTTGAAAAAAATCTGTTTTTAATAGCTAAAAGCTAAAATCATCAAAATACGGAATATAGGGAGGTATCATGTGGGTTATAAAACGTGAACTTGCACAGACAATTTTCTGGCATAGGCTGTAGTATCCATTACGAACTTCAAAATACAAAATTTGAAATAATTCCGGTAAATAATGTCGCTAAAATCATCAAAATACCGCATATCGGGGGTTACGTTATATGGGGGCTATACGAAGACGTGGACCTGTACAAACAATTTTCTGTCATAGGCTGTAGTATTTATTACGAACTTCAAATACGAAATTTGAAGTAGTTTAGGTAAATAATGTCGCTAAAATCTTCAAAATAGCGAATATCGGGGGTACTGTAATACGGGGGCTATACTAAGACGTGGACCTATATGGCCCCATTTTCTGTCTTTTGCTGTAGTATCTATTATGAACTTTAAATATCAAATTTAAAACAATTCCGGTGAATGTGTCGCTAAAATTATCAAAATACCCAATATCGGGAGGTACCGTTATATGGGGGCTATACGAAGACGTGGACCTACATGGCATTTTGAATACCAAAAGTCCTGTAGACATAATACACATTTGAGAAAATTTTTATCAACTTACGTCATTTCGTTCGGAAGCTAGAGTGATTTCCATAGACGCACAGACGGATAGACGGACATACGAACGGACATTGCTAAATCGGCATAGAATTCTATGCTGACCAAGAATATATATACCTTGTGGGGTCTAAAATGTATATTTCGAGGTGTTAAAAACGGAATGACAAACTTAATATAAACTCCATACTATGGTGGGGGGTACAAAAATATATATCGGAGACGAGTTCCACAAAATGGAAACCTTCGTCCCGAAATTCACTCTATTTCAGTTGATATTAGCCATTATATGCGCAATAATCCTGAAATCGGATTAAGGATATTCTGAGTTGTATAAGATATCCGGTACCAGAAGGGGTTCGCAGGATGCTTGAATGTGTGAAATTTGAAGAGAGTTGGATGCTTATTCTGCTTTCTTTGAGCGTTTTGTTTTTCAAAATCTTGAACCATATGTGGAGGATGTACCAAAAGAATTTGTCGGATATTAATTGCGCGTTTTATAAGCTCAATGGATGTTCAAAATTTTGAGCCTTTGTGGGGAAGGTATTCGAAGGATTGAACCGATATATTCCATCTTCATACCAGACCTTGGGTTAAGAGAAATATTGTGAGGTGTGTAATTTGACAAGACAATCGAACTCTTACATCACATTAGGATTTGCAAAATCGGATTATCCTTTCTCTTTCTGTGCAGTAAAATTGTTTTTTGAAAATGTTGACCGTTTGTGGGAGAGTTGCCAGAAGGAGTGATCTGATATTGCCCATCTCCGAAATTGATCTAAGTTTGATAATAATATCACGATGTACCAATTTTGGACCAAATTGGAAGCTCCCTTCGACAGACGGACATCGCTAGATCGACCTCAAATGTCCTGAAACGGATTTGACTCAAAGAGATCTAGGGTCTAAAACCGTTATTTCGATGAGACATGTTTTGGACGTATCAAATGATATATACCCCCTCTAGCCATATGGCGGAAGGTATACAAATCTAAAGATCGTTTATTAGAAAATCCTTAGATTCATTTTAGATATTGTATCTACTGATCCTCTGAAGATCTGGAAACCCATATAGATTTCATCTGCCCGGATATAAAATGACAAAAGAAGTATGTACCTTTCATTTTATAATGGATCTCTCCCAATTTAAGTTAACCTAAATTAGTCTTCCCCTCCCCAACATACCGCCGGCACGTGGAAAATTCATTCAACAATTTTTGAATAATTTTATTATCTATTATTATCTCTCCCTCTCTCACTTCTTTTCTACCTTCGCCACAAGTTACACGTCTGATTGACGCGCATTCGATTTGATGCACTGCAATTGAACACCTTAGCAAATTCTGGAAAATGTTTAACTGCATCATTTACCCTGTCCCGATCACTGCCATGTTCCTCGATGTTCACATAGTAGAACGACGAAGTCGAACCACAAAAGAATTGGGCAAAATTTAAGAAAAATAACTTTCCCAAGGACATTTCATTGCCATGGAGTAGACGTTTTTGCTCCCGCTCCCCCATATCTGGATGGATGCTGAAAAAGGTTTCATAGGCATATTGTAGGCCACTGACATCGGAAATCTTTTCATTAATGACCAAGGGATTTAGTTGACGTAGACACTGCAATTGATGCTTAAATTTCGAATTGGACAACATATCGAGGTAGGGTGTGGAATTCAGTTTGCCATTACCATCCACCTCTAGGCCATTGATGTCGAAGGCATGTAGCATTTCATGGGAGAGCAGAAAACCCAGGGAACTGTATTTATAGACATCCTCATGGCCGTCATGATACAGGGGTCGTTGTATGGCGGTGCTGGGCAGCATGACCATATTGGCCTTGTGTATGTAGTATGGTGAGGGACTTGCCGCCGTTTCATATTCCTCCATGTGATAATAGTTGGAGGAATTTGTAGTCGTATAGAACAGCTTGCGGTTGGTCACGTGGAAGGCCAATAATTTCAAGTGATTGCCATAGAAATCTGTGCGTGAAATATTTAGCCCATGGTAATAATCCTCTAATATGTCTGTGGTATTCCAACGTGGTAGATTGCCAACCTTCAGTTGTAACTTATCCAGTTTCGAGAGCAAAAATTGTAGAGTGGAGGCATTAAAGGCGTTCTCATTTTTTTGAAGATGGCTTTTGAAAGTTTTAATAATATTTTCAAAAATCTTTTGAATTTCCGGCACTACCTCTGCAATGTGGGGTTTTTGTTGTTCATAGATCCAGTGCATGGCCAACGATAGGTGACCGCGGGTGGGAACAATACAACCTTCTGGAGTAAATATGGGTGGCCTTTGTCGGCGCATGTACCACACGAAACGTATTTCTAAATATTGAGCTATGAAGACGCTCTCATGGTTCTTCAGGTATTCATCCAGGGCCCTCAAGTAGGGTACATTTTGAATATACAACTCTATTTGGCTATCGGTTATGGTTTGATTTAAGGCTGTACGCAAATACTTCTCCAGCCATTCTAAGGGCAATTTTTTGAGTTCTATTTTTTCGCTCTCATTTAGATCCACAAGTTCTTCCTTTAATTGCAATAACCTTTGCTCGAATTTACTCACATCACTCCACAGTTGTAAAAATTCCCCAGAGGTCATGACACCATCTATAGAACGTATTATGTCTTTCAAATTCTTTTGAGTCAGGGGAATAAAACCCAAACCTTCTTCCGCCTGTAGAGGTTTGTCCAAATCGATTGTCAGCTGTGAGGGATTTTCTTTGGGATAAAATGCAGTTAGCTCCAGAAATATACCATTCATGCCATATTTATACATAGTGGCCAATATGGATATCCAATCATATAGTTCCTCATTCTTCTCCGCCGGAAACAAGGAAGGCATTTTCAGTTGCTCATTTTCCAGCAACCAATTTAAATAACTTTGTGGACTATATATTCCCACATCCAGACAGGATCGATAAAATTCATATGTCTTTCTTACGAAACGTGGTGCCTTCCATATCTGAAGTCTATTCATGTAGTCCATAAAATCTTGGTTTGCTCGAAAATCCATCATACTCAGGGTCTCGGCAAATTGATAACCAGCTCCATCTGTATACTCCTCCCAGTTGCCACAGGCATATTCATAGAAATCTTCACATGGATCCACATCGATGTCCATGGAACCCTCAATCAATTTCTGCTGACGACGATTTACAAAGTTCGCCATTTGCACCGATGTTGCGTCACAGCCAACGCTGATAAGCAGCAATGCAATTACAAAGCGCTGTAGTTGCATTTTGAATGCAAATATTACTCCGATCGGATTGCCGCCAGATGTCTGACTGCAATGGAATACTACGTTCGTTTGATTGCGGAGCTTCTTTGTTCAGATGTTATTAATTTAAATATTGTAAAAATTTTATTGGAAAATTGTTTTCAAGGAAATCAAATCGGTATCAACAATTTACAGTTATCAATTTTCGGAACTGAAATAAAAAAGCGGTAGCAATGTACTACTGTTTGGTGCAGTACTTTGGCTATCAATCTGGAGGGGGCAGGAAATAGCAACTAAGATTGGAAATACCAATAAGATCTGATGATCTTTCCATAGAAGATATGTAGATCTTCTCAGAGAAGATCTGTACATCTTCTATGGGAGGTGTCTTCACGTAGAAGAACTGTTAAGCTTCTTATTGAAGATCTGTGAATTTTCTCATAGAAGATCTGCAGATCTTCTCACTTAAGATCTGTAAATCTTCTCACAGAGGATCTCTAGATCTTCTCAAAGAAGATCTGTAAATCTTTTTTATTCTCTGGTCTTCTTCTATGAAAAGACTTTCTGGTCTTTGTCTATGAGAAGACCTTTTGGTCTTCTTCTTTCAGACGACCTTCTGGCCTTCTATAAGACCTACTGGTCTTCTATGAGTAGACCTTCTGGTCTTCTATGAGTAGACCTTCTGGTCTTGTATGAGGAGTCCTTCTGGTCTTCTATGAGGAGACCTTCTGGTCTTCTATGAGAAGACCTTCTGGTCTTCTATGAGAAGACCTTCTGGTCTTCTATGAGAAGACCTTCTGGTCTTCTATGAGAAAACCTTCTGGTCTTCTATGAGAAGACCTTCTGGTCTTCTATTAGAAGACCTTTTGGTCTTCTATGAGAAGACCTTTTGGTCTTCTATGAGAAGACCTTTTGGTCTTCTATGAGAAGACCTTTTGGTCTTCTATGAGAAGACCTTTTGGTCTTCTATGAGAAGACCTTTTGGTCTTCTATGAGAAGACCTTTTGGTCTTCTATGAGAAGACCTTTTGGTCTTCTATGAGAAGACCTTTTGGTCTTCTATGAGAAGACCTTTTGGTCTTCTATGAGAAGACCTTTTGGTCTTCTATGAGAAGACCTTTTGGTCTCCTATGAGAAGACCTTCTGGTTTTCTATGAGAAGACTTTCTGGCCTTCTACGAGAAGACCTTCCGGCCTTCTACGAGAAGACCTTCTGGTCTTCTACGAGAAGACCTTCTGGTCTTCTACGAGAAGACCTTCTAGTCTATGAGAAAACATTCTGACCTTGTAGATATACTGGGTGGGATGAAAAAACTGCAACCAATTTCAGATTGCCGTACTTTCTAAGCCACTCGTTCGACAGCTGTTAAAATTATTTCAGTGGCAGCTCATAATGTTGTTTACAAGCATACAAAAGCATTTTGGTGAGAATTTTCCAGAAATGAAGTTATTCGTGATGGAATTCAAGCGTGATAGTGTGATTTCTTTGTACTTGGCTGGAAAACCACAAATGGCTATCGTTAGAGCACTCCAGCATTTAAGTGTAAATAAATCTTTTGTGTCTCGTACCATCGCTCCTCACCGTGGTGCTGGTAACGTAGCCCGACATCAAGGAAGTGGGCGGAAGAAAACAGCAACACCAGCAGAAATGGTTGGAAAAGTAAAGAAGCAACTTGATCGAAACCCCCGTCACACTGACCGAAAAATGGATCGTGAACTGAACATATGGCAATATTCCATTCGGCAAATATTGAAAAATGAGCTCGGGGTAAAGTCATTGAAATTCCAAAAAGTGCAAGAACTTACACCGCAACAGGCTCAAAACAACTATGAGAAAACATTCGTTGTGCAGCAGTTTGTAAACAAACAAAATGATCGTGTTTACTTGCCAAAGAGTTTAGCTGAAAATGTTCGGCTTCGGTTGGTCACCAGAACTCGAGCGCCGGCCATGGTGATAGTGTGGGCCGCCATGACAGCCGATGGTCGCTCTCCGCTGGTATTAATCGACCGTGGCATCAGAATAAATGCGGAATATTATCGCGAAAATATTCTGGAGGGTGTTTTAAAGCCTTGGGCACGCAAACATTTTGGCCGCAGACCTTCGGACATTCCAACAGGACTCAGCACCATCGCACTTAGCATGCGCCACCCAAGAATGGTTACCAAATGAGGTTCCTCGCTTCATTTCCAGTTCACAATGGCCACCAAAATCTCAGGATACCAATCTGTTGGACTATTTGCTCCGGAATATTTTGGAAAGCAAGGTTGGCACTAAAAATACCAAAGTTTCGATCGCCTCAATCCAGCGTTTCACCGGGAATTGGCCAAAATACCGCAGAGCAACATTTGGGCAACGTGTGCCGGTTGCATTGGAGGCCATAATTCGTGCCAAAGGTGACCAATTCTAGCAAATCTAAACTTATTCTAAAATTTGATGCTATTTCCGACATTTTTCGCTTTCAATCAATAAAATTAAAAAAAAGTTAAAATAATGGCTTTGTCGCAGTTTTTTTATCTCACCCTGTAATATTGCAGATAAGTATACTAGGAATATTTTTGTCGATTTGAAACCTCAACCGGGTCAAAAAAGTGTCATTTTGATTTATTTTTATACCCTACACCACATAGTGGCAAGGGTATTATGTCTTTGTGCATTTGTTTGTAACATGGAGAAGGAAGAGATAGTCCCATAATTACTTTTGAAGATAACCATAGAATCACTTTCTGAGTTGATTTATGCATGTCAGTCCGTCTGTCCGTCCGTCGGTCTGTCCATATATTCTTGTGAACAAAGTGCAGGTCGCATTTATTATCCGATTAAGATGAAATTTTGCACAAATCATTTGTTTCGACGAACCCTATTTAAATTGGAGATAATCCGCAAAAATTTAGACATAGCTCCCATATATATATTCGTTCGATTTGCATTTTATTGTGAAATTTTGCACATACAATAAAATTAGGCCTAGTAACAAGTGTGCCAAATTTTATCGAAATCGGTTCTGATAAAGATATAGCTCCCATATATATTGTTCATCCGATTTGTTATTTTTGTCCTCCGCAGCCGTAATATTCACTCTGTAGCAACAATATTTGAGGAAATATATCAAGTTCATCTCAGAAATACATTTGCTAAATTTTATCGAGATCGGTTCAGATTTGGATATAGCTCCCATATATAACTTCGATTTACATTTTTTTGTACACCAACCGTCTAATATTTGCCCAAATGGAATTTGGCACATACGTCCGAATTGAGTCTAAAAGGTAGTATGCCAAATTTGGAGAAGATCGGTTCAGATATAGCTATAGCTCCCATATATATTGTTCATCCGAGTTGTTGCATTTGTTACCCACAGCCGTAATATGCACTTCGTAACAACGATATTCAGGGAAATATATCAAATACAGCTCAGAAATATCTTTGCCAAATTTTACCAAGATCGGTTCAGATTTGCCTATAGCTCCCATATATATCTTTATGTGATTTCAAATTAATTTTGCACCAAGTGGACAATACAAGTCCGAATTAAAAAGAAACAAATGCTTCGGCATATTTAGTCCTTTGAAATTTAAATTACAATTATAATCATAGCGTGTATGAATAAATTCTCCCATAAAATCTTTTAATTGTTATCTGGAGCTCTACAAAATTAGCAAAGTGGTGTAGGGTATCATAAAGTCGGCCCCGTCCGACTTTAGAATTTTCTTTACTGGTTTAAGCTCTACTTTTGCAATCTGGTGGTTTCTTCCCGTAGCTACTGAAAAACATTAATTTGGTCGAACATTATTAGATTTAAATCCAACATCAAATTTCCCAAAGCTGTGCTCACAGCATCCTCATTAGCTGACCAATGATTATTCATATATTTCCTAAATATTTCATTTTGAAAATAATCCAAAACGATTTTCAATTCTGTTTTCATTTACATTTGATGATTAAATTTATAAAATTTTCAACTGCATAGCCATATCACCACTCAATCAATCAAACGCCAATTGCCTCCATTCAACTGCAAACAGCTTCCTTCGCACACATACATACCTGTACACACATCTATCTTCGTGTATATCAGTAATCAAACTACCAATGTGTAAATCACATCAAGTGAACACTCCAAAACATATTGCCGTAATTAAAAGTTAGCCTGTAAACTGATAACGGATTAATTAGAAATACATTACATTTTTGGTTTTCGGTCGACGGCAAAAGCCGCCATTTAATGGGATGTAACGAAATGTTAGAAAAGCAAGCTTGGGAATGTCATTGCATTTGTTCGGTTTACTGCATGTCATCCTAATGTAAATGAAATATATTATGATATGTCATTGCCACTTATATCGCTTACACGGACAATATCCTTGTCATGCGGAATTATGAACAACCGTCGTTTAGTGGCATAATTCAAATTCTTTTGATTGTTTATAAATACTTTATATAAATTTGGAGATTAAAAAGTATTGGCATATATAATCAAAACAGCTTTCTATATTATGTTTCAGGATTGGATGGACAAATTGCTGTGCACAACTAGGTATTTTTTATGCGAGCTTTTAAATATAAGAATAAATTATTTTTTATTGGACATTTTATGGAATAACCAATTATTTTATCTTACTGGTAGTGCAGAGTATATGTGAATGTCATTACTAGTAATGCTGAAAGTAGCACATACGCCTACCATATTGTGGCTGGATCTTAGTAATATATCAGAGAATAATCTCCGTATCATATCTCTACCCTCTTCCCTGCCAATAATTTCTGATAAATAAACCCTACAACACTAAGACATAGGGAATTATATATGGATCTTCAATATCGCCAAGCTGAATCGATCGAGCTATATGTGTGTCCGTCGACCCGTCTGTCCATATTAAATTGTAGTCACGCTGGGGTTAGGGCCAGAATAAAAGCCTATTTTTTGAGGATATGATCTCCAAATTTCTAGGAATTGAAATGGACCAAAAACCGATAAATGTCCTCATTTTGTGGTTGCTCTGCAGGCCACAATTATAGACCAATCGACTCAGAATTTAGCACTGGGCTAGAGTTTAGGACTGGGAAGAAGCCTCCCAATTTTGATGGTCATTGAATAATGTTCA